TTCGCATCGCAATTATTACAGATGAGACGTGTTTTAAGAGTGTTGGTGTGAAAATAACTTCGAATTTCATGTGTATTATGCATTTTGTTTTTTGTTTAAAGAATTTTAATCTTTACAATTAAATATTTGTTTAATTTTTTTTGCGAAACATTAAATTTCAAATCAGAATTTTACGGATTAGGCAATTATTAATAATTACAGTTCCAAATCAGAATTTTACGGATTAGGCAATTATTAATAATTACAGTTCCAAATCAGAATTTTACGGATTTAGAAAGTTGCACAAATCTCATTTTTTATACCAAATCAGGAATCCAAATTTGAAAAAAATTAATTTACACCACTAGTCCCAAATCAGAATTTTACGGATTGGTAATTTTACGGATTTAGCATAAATTAATCGTCACTCTATAATTCAACATGTATCTCATAAAGAAAAAACTTAGTTTTTTTTTGGTTTCCTTCAAACGTCTATAAAAGCAAGGAAATCATTACCTTGTCACAACTCGAATCAAAACGATTCAACCGAATACAAGCTCTCCGAGCAGTTATTCAAGAAGTAATAAATAATTACTTTGGTAATTAACAATTACTTCATGATGGAAAAAGATATTGTGACTCATTTCACAAGATTCTCTTCCATTAAACAAAAGAAATTTCATGAATCTTTCGTGATCCTTAACAAAATTCCATATAGCAACATCGATTTTGACCAATCTTACGTTATCGTTTATTCAAGACTTAAACCTAAAGAGAAGTTCGACTTGCTTGAACATAGTCAAGAAATCAAATTTTTCGATTATTTTCAATGTAAATGCAAAAAGGAAAAGACTTTTCGTCCTGATCTTTGGCAATACGATAACCGTCATTCTGACCAACAATGTCCATTCAGAAGAAGATATGACTACTTCAGACTACTTCAAAGTGTCAATCCGAATATCCCAGATAAAGAGAAATTAACACGCAAATCATCCAAAGGTTCTTTGATGCGAATGAAAAGGTATTTCCGAACGTACAGACTTGATTATGACATATTTCTTTGGGTGAAAAGTTATTATGATCCACAAACACAAAATTATAAAGACGAAGTTGCTCTTCTGAGAGATTTTAAGCAGTATGTGTTTAGAAAGCGAAAAAAGATCAAAGCTAACAAACAGAAAAAAAACAAATTTGATCAAAAAGAAATTGAAGTCGGTGAACAACTCATTGAAAATATAGACTCTCGATTGAATCAAATAGAAGAATATGCTCCCAAATCTCCAGAATACCATCCAGTTTCATCATCTGCTCAGTTGAATACCGAGTAGATATTTATTTACGTAATTTACAATGCAGTTCGAACAAATTCTCATCAAATTATTTCAAGTATTTCTTAATTTTATTGTTTATTTCAATAAGACTATTTATAATAAACGAATCGAAAATGATAATAAATTCTATCTGGTCAACACATATCTTCAACTGAATCCACAAATTGATCCAAACGAGTTCTTTAAAAAAGCAAATGAAATTGGAAGAA